ACATACATGAGGGCAACATTAATGAAATTGCAGACAACAGGGAAGACAGAGCCTCTAATGAACATCTCTTGTCACTAAACGAGGCTTCTGGGATTGGCAATGGGTTACATCTGATTAAGTTATTGGCCAAAGGGGTCCTATGGAAATTCTCAAACTACTCAGGCTGTTGCCAAGATTGTAGGTTCCTTTCCATAAAGTGATTGCAAAGACCCATGCGGAAGATAATACACCACTTAGAGAATATGGAGAAATCCATCTGGTGTCTACATAGAACCTTTACCTTATGTGCTAGTGTCTTGTTATAGGAAGATACTCTTCACACTACCAAAAGAGAAGTGTAAACACAGTGACAAACTTTTAGATCTACAATGGTATTCTGTGAGAATATGCTAGGGCAATGAAGGCACAAAGCTTATGGGAGTAACCAGCCGATATGTGATTTGACTTCAGACCCATTCCATGAGTTGGAACCCATATCTGATACTTCTTGTGTGACCAAGAATCAGACACTATAAAGACTAGATATCAAGGGACATAGGGTAAACCCAAAGACTACTGTTCTAAAAAATGTGGCAATGAAATGTCCTAATGACATTCTCCTGAACACATCAGTCAGTGCCTGGCTCAGCCATCATCACTGGGAACAAGTACAGAGACCCACAAACAGAATCATACAGAGAGTAAAAAATCCTGGAACATTCAGTTCTGAACGGTGTGTCTTCATTAAATTCCTCCCCTCAGGATGCTGGGTATCATACAGAAGAGTGTAATAAAGAGTATAAGAGACAGAAGGGATGAAGAACACGAGGGAAATAGGCCCTTCAAATTAACATGATGGATATATTATATGAACTCACACAGGCAGCATGCACAGGGCATGCACACATCAACACAAGGTCCTGTATGTTCATCTTATGGCTTCCAGCTTGGTGTTTACATGGAATTCCTGAGTATGGGAATGAGTGGAACTCTGCTTTTTGTGCCTTCTCTTGTTTTTTTTTCTTTTTCTGTTTTTGTTTGTTTTTCCAATTCCAATGTGTTAGTTTTTGTATTATACATTAATTATATATAATATATTTTATATTGCATATTATGTATTACATATTTCATATTATGTTGTGTTATATGGTATGTTATATGTTATATGATGCGTGATATTGTCTGATATATGTTATATGATATATTATGTTCTATGTTTTATGATGTATGATATATTATATATTATGTTGTTATCTGTTAATAGTCTGTTTTCTAGTGAGAGATAGAAAGGGATTGTATCTGTATCATCCATGAGTGAGGAAGAATTTGAAGAGTAGAGAGAGGAGAAACTGTAATCAGAATATAAAATGTGAGAAAAATAAAATCTATTTTCAAAAAAGGGGGGGAAAAGAGAAAAAGAAAACAAACAGAAACTAACTGGCCAGGATGTGGGATAATGGAAATTCTTATCCATGACTGGTGGAAGTGAAAACCAGTGCCATCATTCTAGAAATCATTGTGGATGTTTCTCAAATGAAAAAATGAAACAACAATTATAAATAGATCTACTATATATCCAGCTATATCAATCCTAGGCATATACCCAAAGGATTCTATATCTTACTGTAGAGATACTTGCTTGTTCATGTCTGTTCCCACTCTACTCCCTATAGCCAGGAAACAGAAGCAGTCTACACGTCCATCAACTGGTGAATGGACAATGGAAACATGACATGTACACACAGTAGAATTCTATTCATCTGTGAAGGAGGAGAAAATCACGAAAACTTCAGGTAAATGGACGGATCTGGTAAACACAATGATTGGTGTATTCCAGATCCAGAAACACAAACACTGAATGTTTTTTCTCACTGAATGAGATTGAATCTTTAGATTTGAGTCATTCACTTGGAACAACCAGAGAAACGAGGAAACTAGAAAGGGGTCACTGTAGAAAGGGAAGGAAGATCTTAAGGAAGATTCTGGTTGATTTTAATGTCAATTGGCTGCAAATTGGAATCACCTCGTAGGGAGCTTCACCTGAAGAAGTGTCCTGATTGCCTTGAGGATGCAGGATGGCCCACCCAGATGCAAAGGAGGAGGCAAAGATGATCACTTGCCTGGAGCTGCCTTGGCCTTCCCTCTTAACTGCAGGTTGATTTACCCTGTCAGTATTACTGACTCCATCAGAGATATCAGAGCAGGCACTCCCAGAAATCTATCCTCATCTCTGGGTCAGTGACTCTTTAGGAAGCTTCCAGGTTTTCTGTGCCAGATTGTGACTTCTTAGGTACCCAGCCTTGTAGCCTGAGCAACTATGTGGTTATTTGCCTGCCTAGTGAGAGACGGCTAAGGTGGGGTTATTTTAACTTATGAGACACCTCACCTCAAGAACAGAGCAAACAGCATTTTCTCAGCCTCTTAGCTGGGATTCAACTGTTGATAAAACTTGAAAGCTCACCTACACAGTGATACATTTCTTCCAACATGGCCACACAGCGTAATAATACCATTCCCCATGGGCCAAGCATTCAGTCACATGATCCTAAGGGGGCTATAGCTATTCAAACCACCACATCCCACTCTCTGGCTCCCATATGCTTGTAGCCATAGCACAATGCAAAGTACATTTTGTCCAACTTCAAAAGTTTCCATAGTCTATCACAGTATCCACAATGTTTAAAATCTAAAGTTCAGTGCAATTTCTGAATAGTTAAAAATTTGGAATTCAAAGTCTCTTCTGCGATTCATGCAATCTCCCAAAGGGTGGACATAACTCTCTTTTTTCTATTACATCTTCACCAGTTTTCTGTGTTTGAAGATTTCCTTCACTGCTTGAGCTCGAGTCAAAGACAAGCTTTGGCACCACAGGGTTATCTACTATAAAATCAAATCAAATCAAATCAAATCAAAACAAAACAAAACAAAACAAAACAAAACAAAACAAAACAAAACACTCCTGACATATATTCCCATTCTAAGATGGAGGAAAGGCAGAATAGTAAGGAAACACTGGACTAAAGCAAGACCAAAACCCAGCTGGGCAATCTTCAACATTTGCTTTTTTTGTATCTCCAACTTCTTTCAGCTTTGTTGACTGCACCATATCTCTTTCTCTTGGACTGCTTCTAGTCCCTGTAGCACTTATCTCATCCCACAGCCCTGTCATCTCTAACGTCTTGGAGTCTTTAAGGCAATCCAGGCTTCACCTTCACAGCTTTGCACAGTGGCCTCTCTGGGCCTTAATGCAGGGACACTCCTGTCATACCACTTGCCTCAGTGCCTTTCCTAAGTAGAGGAGGGAGATTCTATTCATACAGTGGCCTCTCTGGGCCTCCATGCAGGGACACCCCTGCCACACATCTGGCTTCCCATAAACATAAACAAATGTACATAACATACTCACACATACATACACATGTACACATTGGGTAGATGGATCCAAGCTCCAACTAAATTTACATATACATGCATACATGAGTTTTATGGATGGATGGAGAAAAGTTCCAATGAATAGGCTCTAACAAACTTCACACATATAAGTATATACATACATACATAATGAATAGGCTCTAACAAACTTCACACATATATGTATATACATACATACATACATAATGAATAGGCTCTAACAACTTCACACATATATGTATATACACACATACATAATGAATAGGCTCTAACAAACTTCACACATATATGTATATACACACATACATAATGAATAGGCTCTAACAAACTTCACACATATATGTATATACACACATACATATTGGTAAGTGGAGCAAACAACAACGAGTTGACTTCAATAACTTTATTTTCTTTTTAGCCATTTTACACCATCTAAAACAAATTTCTTTATGTAAGAAAGATTACCGCATAGGCACAAATTACATATTCTTTAAAATCAATCACCCCATAAAATATTCTTCAAGAACAGATAAAATCATCACACAAAATGAAATGACAACAGATTTATTGATTATGAATTCTTCTTTTGAACCACATGCCCTAACTAAATATTTTCCATCTATCTTTCTCTCCACAAGTTCAATATAACCCCAAAGCCATACTTCTTTTGACGTTAATGAACAAAGTTAAGCAAGGCAGTCCATAGCAGCACATTTTTCTGATGCTTAGCTGACAACAATTTGTATTTGCCAAGAAACAGATCATTATCTTTCTTTCTTCTTATGTTTGAAGTCTCATTCAGCTAAACTGGCTAACCATCTGTTCTTTGTTCTTATACTAATAATAGAATTATTTACTCTTTATTCATAATGCTGCATTTCATATGTACCATGAAACCTGTGCCTGTGGCTGCATCCCTAGATTACAAGATCCAGGAACTCAGACCCAACCTAGAACGAAACGTTTTCTTCAATCATTAACTTGTCCCAAGTCTATTTTTCTCTCTAGTACAATTATGTACTTGTAAGCCATGAAAGTTCACTGTGTTCTTTTTCTTACCTATGAAGCCTTTGCTTACTATTCTACAGGGGAAGGGCATATTCTATTCTTGTTTCTTACTTTTTCATATATTTCAGGCAAAACAACTTAAATCATCCCCCTATACTCTCTATCAAGTACTCTAACTTCCTTAAACTACTTAAATCAAAACAGGAATTCTGTAAAAACATCAATTAATCTAAATAATATTATCCAATAAATGTTCATCTTCATGTTGATCTGCAGGAAAATTACCCAAGGAAGGAATCACACCAGGCTATAGGCACTTGAGGTCCTCCCCATGCCCAATCATACCATGCTAGAGATATAGAAGAAATATAGCAATGACAAACATGAGAAGGCACATCAGTAGCAAGCAGCAATTCTGAAGTCAAGCCTCTGGGGCTATGCCTCTCCAGTTTACACCGATACTAGCTGAACAGAACAGTAGGCTGTCTCCAGGAAGCTCACTGTCCACAGCAGTTCTTCCTTCATGGCATCTGCCACCTGGTTTCCTGTGGAACTTGCTCTGTAGACTAACTTATCTTAAACTCAGAGATGTGTATGCCCCTGTCACCTGAGTGCCTGGAAGTATGGCCCATTAAATAGCTCTTAGAGCCTTCTACTGCTTTCCTAAAACAAAGTCCCAAAGTCCATTTTCCTCCAAATGAAAACATTGTCTGGCCTCTCACAGCAATACCCAGGTCCCTGGTAACAGTTGCTGTCTTTGGGTTTCTATTGCTGTGAAGAGACACCATGACCAAGGCAACCCTTATAAAGGAAAAATATTTAATTGGGGCTGGCTCACAGTTCAGAGGTTTATTCCATTTTCATCATGGTAGGAAGCATGGCAGTGTGCAGGCAGATATGGGTCTGGAGAAGCTGAGATGTCTACATCTTGATTTGCTGGCAGCAGAAGGAGGCTGTGTACAAAACTGGGTATAGGTTAAACATCTGAGACCTTAAATACACCACTTCCCCAAAAATGTCAACACCTATTGTAACAAGGCTATACCTCCTAATAGTGCCTCTCCCTGTGGGTCAAGCATTCAAACAAATGAGTTTATGGGGGCCATACAGATTAAAACCACCAAACATGCCATGTGTTTTATGTATTGAGCATAGAGACCCCAGCTTCCTGAATGTTTATAAGGATGTTTTGATTAGGAGAAAATGACTACAAAACACATATTGTATCTTTTGTGTGTAAGCATTTGAATGTTTGCTGGTATGTTTTTGTGCGTGCATATGTGTGTATATGTGCATATGTGTATGTATTCAAGTATGTATGTGTAGGTAAAAGAAAAAAGATATGGGGGAAATTAAAGAATTGAAGAAGGATTGGAGATTTCCAAGTTCTGATCTATTAAGACGCATTGTCTTTATCCTCTTTTTTTCCCATGGTGGTAGTGGATCGGCTGTACAAAAAAGATATCAGAGGAGGAATTTCCCTAGTGATTTCCTGGTATTGACCACTTGATGTTGTCAGGGTCAGAAGCTATTGATAAGTTCAGTTTGAACTATTTTTTTGAATATGCCCATCGAAGGAGAACTTTGGCATCTTCAGTCACTGTATCAAGGAAATAAAATTGTAAATAGAATGTTTTCCTGAAATAAAGACCTGTAGCAAGGAGCCCACCATTAGCTGATGCAAAAATCTCTAAACATTTCAAAAGCGTTTCTCCTAATGTCTCCTCTCTGTTAGTCTTCAACAAATGAGGAGACTTAATTATTTCTTTTACTTTTTCAACAGACACTTTGCAATCCTTAGCCAGTATCTCCAGGGATTCATCATCCACTCCAAAGAGTTTTCGATAGTGGTTTAACTTCTCTGTCAGCTTCTCCACATCATTATCCGTGAGGATGCCCACGATGGGAAAAGTTGCCAAGACTCCAGCCTTGAATGCTTCTAGCCAGATAAACTGCTGTGTAGCCTTGTGCTTTCTGTCAATGGCTGCCTCTGTAATGTCAGGCAGGGAAAGCATAAAATTGTGGCGCTTTTGAGCACTGAGATCCTTAATCAGAGTGTCCATCAGGACTGGAAAATCATAGTCAGATAAATCATAGTTAGACACCAAGAAAATCTGCGGAACAGTCATGTTATTTTCCCTAAAGTTATTCACAGAATTGCTTCGGATCAGTTTCAGGATCTTTTCTCTCTCAAAAGTACGTGGTTTGGTTTTCTTTTCACTGTCTAAATCAAAATCCACCTTGGTTCTCACAAAGTAGTAGTTCTTTTTCATAATTTCGATTGCTTTGGCGAGCTCTAGTTCAAGTTTTGTAAAACGTGTGGCAGAAACAATAACGAAGAAATCATATTCTTTGAATTTCACTTCCTCCAAATAAGTTTTTGGTGGGAATTTCTGAGTTCCAATACCAGGCAGGTCCCATACGGTCAAAGTTTTAATTTTGGGATGTTTATAAGAAGTTCTCTTCATAGTTGTCTCTATTACCCCAACTTGAGCTGCACCTTCATCTTCAGGTCCAATCCCTAACAAGGCATTGATGAAGCTGGATTTCCCTCCTCCAGACTCTCCTGTCACAGCAATATTTATTGGGGCATTATCAATATTTTTTAATGCATCACAGATTAAAGAGTTTGCCTCATGAAGGTTTCCTTTGTTCAGGTATGACTCTATTAAATTGATGGTTTCCTGAGAAATGATTTTGTTTTCTATCTTAAAGTTTTTAAAATATGTTTTGAAGCTGGACACCAAATCTCCATTGTCTTCATTCTTAGATGTATCAGAGAAGAGCTGACCCATGTCGATGATTAAAAAATTCACTGAAAGAAGGAAGGGAGAGTAAGTTGCAAGAGATTGAAGATCTCTTTGTGCTTAGCAATGTGTTTTTTACCTATGCTGTAGCATTAGTTACCTTCTTATTGAGTAATCCCCATGTCTGTCTGTCTTGTCTCCTCTGTCTTTCTCTCTTTCTCTTTCTTTCCCTCCCCCTCCCTTCCTTCCTCCTTCCCTCCTTTCCTCCCTCCCTTTCTCCCTCTCTCCCTCCCTCCTTTTTTCCCTCCCTTCCTTCCTTTCTTTTTGGTCAACAAGATACATAACTAGAGAGTCCTTTTGTATGAGAAAAGCTCATTTGAGGAAACTAGAACCAATTTCTACTAGTTCTCAGTTAAATCCTTAATTATGGAAAAAAAACTAAGCAAAATAAGGAAAAATAATATTAAAATCTGCATGTGTCCCAAAGCTAGCATCAGCAAGTATAAAAACACAAGCAACTGTGTTACATCTAACCTGACTGGAGTATTCTATATGAAATCAAATGTCTTTTCCATGTGTACACACTTCCTTCAGTGTGTGCCTTCAAATGTGTGGGAACTTAATCAACTTCTAGTTTCTCAAACTCGAAACCAAGTAAAAATGAATGATAACTGACATCAATATTTAATCAATGTTAAATATTTAACGATCACAGAAATCTGTTTTGTCTGTTATTGTTTTTGTTATCAAAGGATTTCAATGACTCCAACTATTTGTATTTCAATTAAACCTTTTTAAATTTGCCTACATTTACTTTTATGAACTGAAGTCATCTCTATGAAAAATATATAATTTTGTGTTGATTAATTGATTTATTTACTTTATATCTTTACCACTGTTTTCCCTCCTTCCTCTTCTGATGTCCTCCCTCCCTTCCCTTCTCCCTTTCTATTTCTTTTCAGAAGAGGTGAGGACCCTCCTGGATATTAACCAGCCCTGGGATGTCAAGTTGCAATAAGACTATATGCATCCTCTCCTATTGAGGCTGGAGGATGTCACCCAGTAGGAAGAAAGGGCCCCAAAGGCAGAGACAACCTGTACCCCTCCTTTTAGGAGTACCACTTGAAGACCAAGGCATACAATTGTAAGAAATAAATTTGTAATAATATAAACCTTTTATTCTTTTTTTTTTTTTTTTTTTTTGGTTTTTTCGAGACAGGGTTTCTCTGCGTAGCCTTGGCTGTCCTGGAACTCACTCTGTAGACCAGGCTAGCCTCGAACTCTCGAGGTCAGAGATCCACCTGCCTCTGCCTCCCAAGTGCTGGGATCAAAGGCGTGCGCCACCACCACCCGGCTTAAACCTTTTATTCTTAAAGTCCATGTTAACATTCATTTATTCAATACAATGTTACAGTGTCCTCAAGTCACCATTTAGAGTCAGTATTTTCTTTTAAACTTTTTATCTTATGAAAGAAATTTAGCCCACCTTTCATCCTGATGTGCACTTGGACAGAAGACCCCAGCGGCCTACCCGTTGTGTGATGGGGAGGGTCCTGCAGATCACAAGTCACAGTATCTCCATGACACAGGAAACAACAGGAGATCCTGCAGGAGTCTTAGTAAGGATCCCATACTGACAGGGATGCAGGAGCTAGAGACCTCAAGCCAGACTAATGTCTCAATGCAAGTAAGTCTGCATGTAAAGATGCGTGGACAAAAGAGAATGCTGTGACACACTGTGGCACAACACAGCTTCCATGATGAGGCTTTTTCTTGTTTGCATTGTTCTTTTAATTTTTAAAAAATTTTTACCTTTTATTTTCTTTGGGGAGGGTGTTGCAAGAGCCAAAGGCACATGAGAGTGGACAGGGAGATGAGTGGATTGGGGTGCATGAAAGAATCATTACAGAGTTAAAAAAAGAACAAGAAACCAGTCACCAGAAGACAGATATTACAGATTCTATTTACCTGAAGTATCTAAAGTAATCAAATTCACAGAGACAGGGACTAGAATGTTGGCTATCAGGGAGTGACTATGGGCAGAAAGGAGGCATCTTTAAATCAGTTTAGAGTTTCTGTTTTGCATTTTGGAAATGATTTGTCATTTGTTGTACAAAAAATATGAGCAAGTGTAGCATTACTGAATTATACACATAATAATGTAAAACAATGACTCTGTGTTATACTACTTTTGCCACAATTAAACATTTATAAACATTAAATAAAAAAAAAGGAAAAATGCAATCTGATATAGGTCAGTTGTTAGAGGGCTTTCCCAGCGTGAATGAGGCGTAGGGTTCATTAAATGCATGTGGTTGTGGATCCCTATAATTCAGGTACTAAGTAAGAAGAGGTAAGAAGGTTGGGATTTCAAGGTCATCCTTGATATATAGTGAGTTATAGGCTAGCCTGGGCTACTTGAAACTCTGTCTCAAAAGACTAAATACCAATTCCAGCAATCTTGCTGCCAGGCCAAAGGAGCTGAGTTTGATTGTGGGGTAATTAGTTCAGAGTTCACATTTCTGCCCTTTATTCTCCACAAACCTGCCTACAAGACCTCCCATGGCAGCATAATTGACCTTGCCATCCCTTAAGGAAACAGCAAACCCCTGCTGTTTCCCTAGGGCCTACTCTTTCTGTCTCACCGAAATCAAATCAGTATGGAGATTTAAGTTCTATTTCCAAATCCACTCACAACTGATCATTCCTCCTACATTATCTTCTACTGAACATCCTCAGTCCCAGATTTGATTATGTCCTTGGCATTACTGTATTTCCTGTGACTATTCTTTCAAAAACATGGATTATCAAATAGCCAGAGTTACCCTATTGACACTGAAGACCTGTGATGTCAAATCAATTCTAAGAGGGACCATAACGAAATCTGTCCCATACAGGGAACCTTCATTAGGTGTACAGTGTACACACCACATACAACATAACCTTTGAGTTTAATTATTATACCTTTGGGGATGCTGGTGTCAGAATTCCAGCCACCCTGTTATCTTGGGTTTCTTCTCATCTCAGGACTTTGTACTTAGTGACTGCTTCCTTTGTTTGATGTTCTCTCCCAGTAGCCATCTCGTTATTTATTTTACTACCTTTCTGTAGGTTTTATTTCAGTTAGGCAGGGTTTAGGAAAGAACAAAAGCTGTTCTCAACTCTTCAATTTCCTCCTCCCACTCTTTCTATTCTTGCTCCTGGTTTTGTGATACAGACTCCAAAGTAATAGGCATCTGCAAGGTCTTCCCAAGGAAGATGAACACAGCAGACAAGAAGACTGTGTCACAGACAGCATTACAAACGGAATCCTGCCTAAAAGACAGCTGTCATCTCACCCTGACACAGCTCATGTTCCTCACAGATGCAGAGAAGACCCTTAGCACTCGTGCTTAGTAATAAAAACAAAACAAAACAAAAACAAAAAACACAGTGACCATGATTCTTGGTGTACAGATTTCCACAGTTTGCTGCAGCAGAAGCAGCATGCAGAGAGACCTTTTATCCACAAGTCAGTGTCCTCGAAGATGTTAGGAATTAAATATTTGACACTGAAATAGAAAGCAGTTTGAGCCCAAGACACAATGAACTTCATACACACTACAGAGATATTTCGTTTCCTGACATTCATTGCAACCATTTTAAGGACAGGAATAAGAGACAAGCAAATCAACTGGATAAGTTTTACCAAAACCAACATACAGATCATTTCTTCAAGGTTTCTCATCTTGAATGATGTGAACAAAGCCCAACCACAAGCCAATCCTGCCTACCTCCCAACAATGACCCCTAGCTTCCAAACTGAGGATCTCCAGTGTCTGGGCATCTTCCCAAATGTCTTGTTACTTATTAGCTCTTTAGAGAAAAGAGATGGTGAGGGTTAGAAGTTAGATCTGCATGTTCCTGTCCACTTACCGGAAACTCCTGTGTCTCCTGGATTCACACACTATAGTTCAGCTGCAGGTACCACTCAGTTCTGCTCCAGGCTCTTTATAGGAAACTCAGTCCTCCTTCCTCTGAGGAAAGGGGCAGGTGCAAGGTGGTTGGGCAGGACTTCTATATGCTTCTGACTTCTTCTCCAGTCTAGGTGTGTGCTGGCCAATCATAGAAGAATGTGGATAAGATTGCTTTTCAGAAGCACCTGCATTTCCAAGAAGCTGAAAGTGAAATTTCAAACTACTAGCAGTCTTTTAACCTATTAACCTTTCATTTCTTGGCATAAAAACTTAGAAAGTCCTAAAATGATAAAGTATGTTAAACATTGGACTTGGAAACTGAGGTGGAACACAGAGAAGCAGCTTACTAACTAGACTACAACACAACATTGAAAGATCATTTTCCTGAAGCTTGACTCCACAAATGCAGCTGGAACTGAAGTCCCACAACACATTGTCTGGGCTCCTGTACAGACGCCAATCAAAGTTAGTCTTACCCAAGACACAACACATCTCTCCCCTCTGTCTACAACCATATTTTCTTGCAAGATTCATGTACCTTGCTATTCCTGACTTTCCCTGTCCTACTGGGATTTTGTCTGGCTTGGGTTAGACAGGTGTCACATGTGGTGTCTCAAATCACTGTTCATATGTGAAGCTGTCCTGCAGTGTCCAGAAGATACTGTTTCTTTTCTCATAGTGATGTACCACTCTGGCTCTTACAGGATTTATCCCCTGTTACACAGCCACTCCCGTGCCTTTGAGGTAGAAGTACTTATGTTACATCAAGGGCTAGACATTCCTCTCTGTCATATTCTCTGCATCATAGCCATCGTGGGCATCTGTGTTGATTATCATCTTCTGAAAATACTACCACCTGTGGGGAATGATTAGCTTGCATGTGGGCGTTTGGGCGTGTGTTCTTGAATCTTGTTGGACAGTGTCGATTTCAGAGGGTCTGCAACCCCAGTTGGCTGGGATCTCGACTCTGGGCAGCAGGAGTGCATGTGGGAATCTTGATTGAGTTCGATCCACTGGCAGCACTGGGCAGATACTTCTGGGCCCCACCCGGTGTGGGGAGTTCTCACTCAGTCTGAAGTTCTTCAGGGGGCA